CCCTCCTATAGGAAGGATGCTGTGAAACTAGAAAGGGTTCATAAAAGATTTACTAGGATATTGCCAGGGTTAGAGAGTTTGAGCTATTTAGAGAGGCTAAATAGGCTGGGGCTATTTTCCCTGGAGAGTTGGAGGCTAAGGGGTGACCTTATACAAGTTTATAAAATCATGTGGGGCATGGATGAGGTAAATAGGCAAGGTCTTTTTTCCAGGGTTTGAGAGTCCAAAAGTAGAGGGCACGGGTTTAAGGTGAGAGGGGAAAGATTTAAAAGGGATCTGAGCGACAACTTTTTCATGCAGAGGATGGTGCATGTAAGGAATGAGCTGCCAGAGGAAGTGGTGGAGGTTGGTACGATTACAACATTTTAAAGGCATCTGGATGGGTATGTGAATAGGATGGGTTTAAAGGGATATGGACTAAATGCTGGCAAATGGGACTAGATTTATATAGGATATGTGGTTGGCATGGACGAGTATATCTCTGTGACTCTATATTTAAAATGTCCAAATTTCTAAATTATAGGACATCTACATTGTGTGAAAGATTAATTGAGACCTGGTACTAAGTAGTTTGAAAGCATAACGTTGAGAAATGTAACTCTAAAGCATGCTCCAGAGAGGTTGGAGACTGAACATCAATGAAGCTGAGGGATTAGTGAGATTTTGATATATGACTGTCAATTGCTGGAGTTACACATGAACGTTAGGCAAACAAAATAACCCAGGGCCAATTAGCTTAGGTACATATGGAGCAGCAAAAACATTGAGAAGGAAAGCTACACTGAAAACTCTTAAGTTCCGGGAACAAGGGCCCATACTTTTGCAACAACAGAAGAGCTCTTCACCATGCCAAAAAATAGTAGGCTTGCCCAAAAATCTTAAATTTATCCCCTGAATATGGGCAAGGAATATTTTCACAGGGGTGGAAATGAATTTTTAAAAATCCATTCATGGGATGTGGGTGTCACTGGCTGATCAGCATTTATTGCCCATCCTTGGTTGCCCTTGAGAAGATGGTGGTGAACTGTCTTTTTGCACCACTGCAGTCCTCCTGCTGTGGGTTGACCTGCAAAGCCATGAGAGAGGGATTTCCTGCAGGTGCATTTTATTGAGGTCATTGGCCATTTAAGTCATCAGCTATTTAAACTGAAGTGACTTCTTGGGAGCCTTGGAGTGTAAAACACTAGGTTTGCTGATTAGACCTGGTAAGAGCTTGTGAACTCTGTGGATTCATTTGGAAGTCTTGGGAACCCTTTTGGATCTGATCACAGGATACCTTTGGAGTGAGTCAGGTGTTCCTTAGGCTAGGTCACGTGCCTCTTGGTGGAGGTCAGGTGGCCTTTTGAATTCTTAAAAGAGGCAAAATGTGCATAAAAGTGAATAAGCTCATTGCTGGCCAAACTCATTGAACCTGGCAATAAAACTGTCAGAATTGTCAAAAGCACATGCCAAGAGAGCCTGTCAGAGGGAGCTGCCAAAAATGTCAGTGTGCCCGTCGAATGGAGTTGTCTTCTGCAGCAGCATCCTCCCAGAGGGGCCTACTGACATGGCAGGGCAACCTCCTGGCCTCCCGCAGCAGCCTCCTGGCATAGTGTGTCACTGGCGCGATGTGGAGCCATGGCGTGGTGCTGACTGGAAGCTAAGTACCAGCGCGGTCTGCTGTATTGAACTCTTTTCTGTACATCTTGTAACAAAGGCTGTGCCAAGGTACTTTTGTATCCGCATCGGTGTTGTAATTGGTGACATATAAACTTTTCACTGTACTCATTGAGTATACATGAAAGTAAAGGCTATTCTATTCTATTCTATGCTATGTTATGCTATTCAAGGCACTTAAAAGTTCAGCCCCTTCAATCTTTTGATAAAAATGTGCAGGGTGTGAAAACGCTTTTCTGGCTATTTCATTGTTGACATGTAGAGGGTTTCTGATAGAGACGTAGCCATAGAGTCGTAGAGATGTACAGCATGGAAATAGACCTTTCGGTCCAACTCGTCCATGCCGACCAGATATCTTGAATTAATCTAGTCCCATTTGCTAGCATTTGGCCCATATCCCTCTAAACTCTTCTCATGAATGGCTATATGAATAAGAACTTCGAGTGCATGTTCATAGTTCCTTGAAAGTGGAGTCGCAGGTAGACAGGGTAATGAAGGTGGTGTTTGGCTTGTGGCTACAGGACATTGGATAGGCCACTTCTGGAATACTGCATTCAATTCTGGTCTCCTTGCTATAGAAAGGATTTTATGAATCTTGAAAGGGTTCAGAAAAGATTTATGAGAATGTTGCCAGGGTTGGAGGGCTTGAGCTATAGGGAGAGGCTGAATAGGCTGGGGCTGTTTTCTCTGGAATGGCACAGGCTGAGGGGAGACCTTATTTTGTAGAAGTTTATAAAATCATGAGGGGCATGGATAGGATAAATAGCTATGGTCTTTTTTCTATGGTAGGGGAGTCCAAAACTAGAGAGCATAAGTTTAAGGTGAGAGGGGAAAGATTTAAAAAAGGACCTGAAGGGTAACTTTTTCATGCAGAGGGTGACACGTGTATGGAACGAGCTACCAGAAATAGTGGTGGAGGGGAGTACAATTACAACATTTAAAAGGCAGCTGGATGGGTATATGAATAGGAAGGGTTTAGAGGGATATGGGCCAAATGCTGGCAAATGGTACAGGTCAGATTGGGACGTCTGGTCAGTGCAGTGGAGTTGGACCAAAGAGACTGTGTCTGTGCTGTATGACTCTGAGTTTTCCAACTGAATTTTTAAAATGAAACCTTTATAATAATCTATTCAATTCTGGTTTTACTGAAACAATTCTAGTTTTATTTCAGTACTGCTTCAAACCTAATGCACCAAACAGGCACCTTTTCATTGCTTCGGTTCCCACAAGAGTAATTTTCAACTTCGTCTTCTGGGTTGTAGCTGGCTTCTCTCATTTTTTTTGTGACTTCAGGTGTATGAAGATCTAGCAGTTTGTTCAGTTAGTGGGTGAATCATTGCACAAGGTGATGGGTGTTGAAAATGACCTCTTTTAATTCTTATTTGTTCTGGTTCCAATGCAACCTTGGCACATTTGAAGCATATGTCTCTACAGTTCAGCAGATCGATAATTTCTATTTTACGACCATGAAAACTAATCTGCTTACTCTACATTCTTGCAGAATTATCTTTATTTAATAAAGTCAAATACTTCGTATTGACTGAGTTGGTAACTCGCTGAAATAAATGAACTGACTTCATGAGAATTTATTTTCTGTTTCTTACATATTTTATATACATCCTCTTTCTCGCAGCTTCAATTTATTACTGCTGCAATATCAAGGAGATTAATATTTGATCAGCTTAAAGCCAAAATTCTTTTCATGACTCCATTTTCATTAATGTTGTACAGACTTCCAAACAGTCAATGCATATTTAGACAGGAAAAATGAAGATAGAATTCTCAAGGTTAACTCATATCTTTCAATTTCAGATTTTACAATTCTTGATATTGTTGGACAATTGTCTTCCTTAAGCAGTTATGAACAGGGAATTTGATTTCCTTTAATATTTACCTCAAGTTTGGTGTATCTAATAAAATCTAGAAGTTCAAACTGAACTAGGAAAACATCTTAAATAAAAACTGAAAGAACTGTAGATGCTGTAAATCAGGAACAAAAACAAAGTTGCTGGAACAGCTCATCAGGTCTGGCAGCATCTGTGAAGGAAAAAACAGAGTTCACGTTTCGGGTCCGGTAACCCTTCCTCAGAACTGGAAAAAGCCTTTTCTGTTATCATTATAAGAAAAACTCGGAATGAAAATTGACCTTTTTGCTAACTAGAACTGGTCAGTGGTTCTACCATTCTGAAAAATAGACATGGCTAATAAATTCCAACAGCTATTGGATGATTGTGAATCTGAATTATAGATGTGAAAAAATTACTAAACAGGCTGTGTAGTATCTTTCTGCTACCTAGGAAAACTGGACTTCCCATGACTGAATAATGTAATGCAAGATATGAACTAAATATTGCACCAGATTTTCCAGTGCATAAGATTGCCACCTTTGCCTTTTTTTGTGAAAGAAAGAAATTCGCCATTTCTGCTCAGGAGATTCTGCTCAGAGCTTCCTCAGAAGCACAGAGGCTTTCCTCCATTCTGACAATTCTTGCTAGGCATAGAACTGTCAGACGAAGGAAAATCATGTTCTCTTTTCACAGCAGTCAGCTGCTGCATTCTGAAACATAAATATCCTGACAGCTGTAGCCAAAGGGCAAATGGATAAGGTAAATGTGATGTTCGGATGCTGGGAGGGTAGGGTGCCAGATGGGAAGGAGGGGTAATATGCCAAATAATTAGCTTGCAAGGTGGGTAGGATGCCAGGGTGCCAGCTGGGGATGACAAAGGAAATCCAGCTAGCTACTACTGTTCCAGGAAGACGTCTCAGTGCTAGCACCTTGTGTGTACAAAATAACTTCGGAATCGGAACACCATTTGTGACAACCCATGACTTATCTTTTATTCATGAGTTTAACTATTACTAGGCCAGACTATTTTAAAGTTAACACTGCTGAGTTTTCATCTGTTTGATTTTCCTCGAATTGTTTGTGTGTCTGTATTCATTTTTTTAAAAATGGTCTATCTATACACATGATCCAAGCTATTTGCATTTGGTAATAAGCCATTTTTTGTTGACTAAATAAACCAGGCTAACTTGTTCTTAAAAACAAAACGAAAGAACTACGGAAGCTGTAAATCAGAAACAAAAATAGAGATTGCTGGAAAAGCTCAGCAGGTCTGGCAGCATCTGTGGAGAGAAATCAGAGTTAACGTTTTGGGTCTGGTGACCCTTCCTCACAACTGTCCAGCCTTTGTCTTGCCACTTGCTGTCTACTGTTCATAAGAGAAGTCATTCAAGTTATCCATTGAATAAGAGCTGACTACATTATATTCTTGCTTGCCAAAGAGAGGCAGGTGGTGTAACCACAACTTCATGAGGATTGCAGATTCTCATGGTGGGGCGCCATTAACTGAACTTTGTGCATGTAGTTAGCAGGGACTGCACATCAGCTTCACCAGGGTGGCATGTTGGCTCAGTGGTTAGCACTGCTGCCACACTGTACCAGGGACCTGGGTTCAATTCCACCCTTGGGTGACTGTCTGTGGAGTTTGCGCATTTGCCCATGTTTGCTTAGGTTTGCTCTGGTTTCCTCCCAAGTCCAAAGATATGCGTGTTAGATGGGTTAGCCATGGGAAGTGCAAGGTTACAGGGATAGGGTAGGGAGGTAGATCAGGGTGGGGTGCTCTTCAGAGGTCATTGTGAGCTTAATGGGCCAAATGGCCTGCTTCCACATTGTAGGGATTCTATGAACTCTTAAAAATATTCCAAACAAAAGCAAATCCACTTGATCAACCTCTAGCAGGTTTGTGGTCATATATAGTAAACCATGCAGTTTAATGCCCAACATCTTGATAGCTGTAACAATGATCATTCTCTAGGAGTTCATTGTGCCTTCTGTATTCAAACCATCTTGTCAAATCAAATGGCAACTACTAGGTGACAAGGTCTATCTGGCCACACGGCTGCTGATTCCTGTACACTTTCTGTGCTAACACTTTGAGCTCTACACCAGAAAACCTGGGAACCTTCTCTCTCGCCTGTTGCTTTGTCAATTGTGTTTTTGCTTCTCTAAATCTTCCACAGGCAATTTGCAGCAACTTTTGTTCAATGAGACCAGCTACCCACTAAAAAGGGTAGGCTGCCTTCACTGAAACATGCACTCGCGATACACACTGCTAATTCCCTTTTCAGCATGCAAACAGTCAGCAGTGCAGGTTTCCTGCTGTCTGCCTCAATGGGACCAAATGCTGGGAGATCAGTTATTCAAATTCCCAGACACAGAAGCAGATCAAAATGAAATTATCCACCATGGTATGAAATATTGCAAATACTCCCAATTACCTTTAAATACAGAGGAGGACATTTGATTGAATGGAAATAGTTGCTGGGTTGTACAGAGCTTGAGTATTTCTGCAAAATAGACAGGCTGTCAAACTTCAAAAGGATTAACATTGTATAATTCTTAAGAAAAATGAATTGATGGTTGACAAGTTTAATTTAATACAAAAAGACAATTTAAATTAAAACACAGGAGACAATAGTTCCCTGGCGTTTTCTTCATGTCAATGCCTTGACCAATCTCAGTCAATTTGCCAATCAATTAGCACTCTACTCATGTGATATATATTGTTTAAAAGGTGGCATTTCTGTATCTGTCCTGATGACTGCAAGACAAAAGCTTTAACAGCACACCTATCTGTCAGCAATAACTCAGTGGAAATAAACAATAACATGTTGGAAGTGTGAATTACTATTACAGCGGAATTAACAGTTTATTCTACGATTCAAATAGTAGTTACCCACTTAGAATTAGAGAGTCTTAAACTGAGCATCTTGGGTCTCTACCTACCTCAATGCCACTGCAGAGATTGCAGAAAAGGAGGTGTTTGGTTCACAGTAACAGAGCAAATCAGCAAATCCAATTAATATCAGTAATCTTGATTTATCTAGAGTTGAATGTGGTGATCATATAATTTGCACAGAATTTGGAGGTGATCTGAATTTACATGAAGGATTTTCTTTATATTTATTTTTCATTCAATGCATTAACATTAAAATTGAAGAAATCTTTTTTATTCATTCATGGGATGAGGGCGTTGACAGCTAAGCA